GCCTGGGGCAGCCCCTCAGAAATGTCCCCTCACGGGGCTGGGTCACACTGGACAGCTCCTGTGAGCCCTCAGAGCTAACCCCTGCAGGATCCCCGTGGCTGGGTCACAAATGGCTCCTGTGAGCCCCCAGAGCTTCCCCTGCAGGATCCCCTTGGCCCTCGGGCTCCTTTTCAGTTTGAACACAGAGCTGCACCATCCTTGTTGCACTGTGGGTCAGCACAAACCCAACTGAGTCCCCAAAACACGGGTTGCCCCATCCTCATGCTCTCCCTTTGCCCTGAGCTAGCCCCAGGTTGTGGTTTGGTGCTGGAGTTGCCTCCCCTCAGCACTTACATCATGTTCTTTCCAAGAATGATGTCAACAGAAAGTGCCAACAGCTTCACGCTGATCGGAGAGGCCTCGGATGGTGGCACCATGGAAAACCTCAGCAGGAGACTGAAGGCAAGTGGGTCACGAGCTGGCAAACTCAGATCCTTGGGAGCAGAGCTTCAGTTTTTCCTGATGCCCTGTAAAACTAAACTGCAAGGTTTCCCATAGCATTTGTCTTCGAGGGGCTTGGTTGGGGAGTAGTTGAGCAGAGAGAGATTATTTTAATCAGTATTTGGCCTGCAAAGAGGATTCCTGCTAACTGAAGCTGCTGAAAAGCAGCAGGCAGCTGCCTGTGGTTTCACTTGCACTGATGTGAGCCCTTCCTCCAGGTCACTGGAGACCTCTTTGACATCATGTCTGGGCAGACAGATGTGGATCACCCCCTGTGTGAGGAGTGCACAGACACTCTGCTGGACCAGCTGGACACACAGCTCAACATCACAGAGAACGAGTGCCAGAACTACAAGTGAGTGAAGCAGAGGTGACAGAGCTGCTGTGGCTTGAGGCACAATCAGTGGATGATTTATTAGAAACATGGATGTTGATCTAGTACTGATATCCTACTGTGACAGACAAAAACTCTCTAACAGTTAGAAAGTCTATGTTTATTTTGAGATAACTCCCAAATACAGACCATAATTTACAGGTGATTACAGAGCCCTTTTATCTATACAAATATTGAATACCCAAAATACAAATACATATTCATAACTTCGGTACATCCCAGTCCCCTGCTCTGTATGGTAATTAGTTCAAAAGCCATTAAGCATGAGTAGTTTGTTCCTTGAAATGGGTCAGGAGTCCCAAAGTGAGGAAGTAAATGAACTCTTCCTTATTCTGACCTTTCTACCTTTTCAATGCAAATATGACAAATGAACCCTTGTTAGAACTCCCATTCCTTGTCTTCAATTGGTTTCAGAATAGAGGAGGCCCAAAATTGTCTTATGTTCCTAAAAACAATTGTCTTATATTCCTAAAAACAATTGTCTTATGTTCCTAAAAACAATTGTCTTATGTTCCTAAAAGCTATTTATCAGTTTCTGTATTCTTCATTATAAACCCAGCTGACCAAACATTCTGTTGACAATCAATCAATTAGACAATAACTACTAACTCTTAACTTTATCAAGGCCTACTCATTTATTTTAATTAACTCCAATAAAGTTTATCTCTAACTAAAATCTTAGCTCCTCTAAAGTCTCTAAATTCCTTAAAGTTTCTGTCTCACGGGGAGCTCAGGATTGCCAAGAGCTGCAGGGGCTGCCAGTGCAGGACTTCCCAGGATACCTGTCCTGGCAATCCTGATGTTCTCCTCTAGGAGATGCCTGGAGATTCTGGAGCAGATGAACGAGGATGACAAAGAGAAGCTGCAGACAGAGCTGAAGGAGCTGGCACGGGAGGAGGAGCGGCTGATCCAGGAGCTGGAGGATGTGGAGAAGAACCGCAAGATTGTGGCTGAGGACTTTGAGAAAGTCAGGGCAGAGGCTGAGAGGCTGGAGCAGGAGGAGGCTCAGTGAGTGGCAGGGCTTGGAGGCAAAAAATTAATGAGAAACTTGTAAATGGTAACATGAGAAACCTGTAAACATGCCCAAATGCCAGTGGCTCGCTCTGTGCACAAAAAGAGAGACCAAACTGGCCTGCAGAGCTGTCAGTCTGAGGTAGAAGCCAGCCCTCAGCACTTCTTGTCCTGTTTGTGCTCAAAGGTACCAGAAGGAATACTGTGAGTTCAAGAGGCAGCAGCTGGAGCTGGATGATGAGCTGAAGAGTGTGGACAACCAAATGCGCTATGCCCAGATGCAGCTGGATAAACTAAAGAAAACCAACGTGTTCAATGCTACCTTTCACATCTGGTAATGTGGACATTGGAATGTTATATCCATTTTCTTGGAATCTGCAGTGTGAAGGTTTTTAGGTCACTGTGTTTGATAGGAAAGGTGCAAGTCAGCTCAGTTACCTCCCAGCAAAGCAGTGAGTGCCACCTGTCAGGAGTGGCAGCTGAGGAAAGCGTGCCAGGCTGTGGGACTGGGAAATGGCTCCTTTGTAACACTTTGGAACCCCTGTGCCAGCCAGCAGTGACACTGGCATTGGGGTTCACAGAGCAGGCAGCTTGGAGAGGTTGGCTGGGGGTTTTTGTTGTGTTTTTATGACAAAAAGAGAACAAGTGTTTGGTGTTTACATACACTTGTTAAGAATAGCCCCAACCCTCCTTGTGCTTGGCTGGCACTGTGTGTGCTGTGCTCTTGGGACACAGCCCCTATTTGGCTATCAGGCCATGAGCTTTTCCCAGCCCAGCACATTTATTTATAATTCTCCTTATCACAGGCACAGTGGGCAGTTTGGCACAATAAATAACTTCAGGCTTGGCCGCCTCCCCAGCGTTCCTGTGGAGTGGAACGAGATCAATGCTGCCTGGGGGCAGACTGTGCTGCTGCTGCATGCCCTGGCCAACAAAATGGGCCTGAAGTTCCAGAGGTACCTGCAAAACCACCCACAGGTCATTCATGGCCCAGAGGAGGACAGGCAGACTCAGGAGCCTGTGAATTCTGTCTCCTTTTTTTCAGATACCGCCTTGTCCCCTATGGCAACCACTCCTATTTGGAGTCCCTCACAGACAAATCCAAGGTAAGGGATCCTGTACAAAGCATGGGACATTGATCTTGAGTGCCAGAGCCCTGGTCACACTGGGGATGCAGGAAAAGCTTGGTCTCTGTGGATTTGGAGTCCAGCAAAGGTGGCTGCCCCAGCTCCTCCAGCATGGTGACATCTTACGTCCTGTATGAAGCCACTGGTGCTGCCAGCCAGCAATAGAACTCTTGAATGACACACCTGGCCAGAGGCAGAGGCATGTTTTGGGGTGATTGGCAGGTAGATTGCATGATTTGGGGTTGCTGGAAGTCAGGAAAACATGCCTGCACATGGTAGGCACTTGCACAAAACCAAGTCATACTTCCCTTGTGCCACAAGCCATTTCTCAGCATCCCATGACAAATGTAAGCCTCACATGAGGTTAAAAAGCTGCAGTGACCATATCAAAAACAAGTGCTTGGTGTTCCTGATACAAATCTCTTTTCCAGGAGCTTCCCCTGTACTGCTCTGGAGGCTTGAGGTTCTTCTGGGACAATAAGTTTGATCACGCCATGGTGGCATTCCTGGACTGTGTGCAGCAGTTCAAAGAGGAAGTGGAGAAAGGTGAAACTCGGTTTTGTTTGCCTTACAGGTGAGTGTTGCCACAAAACTCAGATTCAGCCCTGTGTGCTCCCCCTAGCATTGTTTCAGCCCTGATTTTTCAGAAATCATCTGCAATTCTTTATGATGTGTTTGGTAGTTTCATTGAAACTTAAAGCTAACCCCTTGGGGGGAGTCCTGAGGCTTGCTCAGATCTCTTTAAAAACAAGATAGTGTTATTGTCAGATTTAAAATGTAGTGCTTGGTGTCATACTGAGGTTAAATGCTTGCAGTGGGAATACACTAATTAAAGCTTGTGTGTGATACAGGATGGACGTGGAGAAAGGAAAGATTGAAGACACAGGTGGCAGTGGTGGCTCTTATTCAATTAAAACACAATTTAACTCTGAAGAGCAATGGACAAAAGCACTAAAATTCATGTTAACTAACCTGAAATGGGGCCTGGCCTGGGTCTCCTCCCAATTCTATAACAAGTAACTGTGATCAGAACTTGGCCTGGCAGCCATGGAGTGTCTGCATTGTGTTGGAGAAAGGCAAATGAAGATATCTCTTAATATTAACCAGTACAAAATGTTTACAATACCAAAAATCCACAAGACACTTTATTTACAATGCCATTATTTACAAGTAGTTTGTAGAAAAGCAATATGCAAAATTGTATTGTTGAGTTGAACAGAATAAAAGCCAGCTATTAAATGGATTCTAAACTGTTATTTTTGGGGTTTATGGCCATGCACATAAATCATTGTCAAATGAGCATCAGTTTGATGCTGCTCTGTTACAGCTAATGCAAGGTTGGAAAAGCAGGACATGACAAACACAAGGAATAATGTGGGAAAACTGCCAGAACTCTGCCTGCTCATTAAAGAATTTAAAATAAAGTATTTTCTAACTCGTATCAGCACTTCTTTGTGCTGCTGAACTTAAAAAGGTTTGAGACCATTACAACACTGTAATCCCTCCTGCAGGCTGTTCCTGCACAGGGCAGTGCTGAGGAAACAATGAAATTATTCCAGGTGTTTCCAGCCAGCAGTGCCTGGCACAGCACAGACCCCTGGCACTGGCAGGGACAGCCAGGCTGGGCACTGGGGTGGTGATGGTCACAGTGCTGGCACAGAGGGGACAATCCCAGAGGACAATCCCTGTTTTTATAAAACAGAGGTTTTATAAAGGCAGCAGGAGGAGACAGAGCAGCTCCATTTGTGAGAGCTGGTCCCACCAGCCATGGCAGCACCTTTCAAACACAACCACTCTGAGGATCTCTGATTAAAGGGAGCTTAGATCCCAAACTTTAAAAATGCAGCTGTTACAATAAAGCTTTTAGGGCATTTCTAAACACTGTGGTGCTGTTGAGCCTCCTTCCAGAGGATGACTGTGATGCCCAGCAGGACGAGCTTTGCTAATTAACACATGACAGAATTCAGGTAACCCTGAGCTGTGCTGGGCATTGTCACAGAGCAGGGACAGCTGTCAGCAGTGTGACAGCTCCTGCTGCTGGGCCAGTGACTGGAGGGACAGGGTGGTTCTATTTCTGAGGAGGGATTCTGTCCTGAGGAGATCTGGTGGCACGGTGCTGCTCGGGTGTGGTGCTGCCAACCACGCGCCTCACCACGGCGTAGGAGAACTCCAGGATGCTCTGGGGAGTGATGCCAGTGATGCAGTTTAAATGCTCCACAGCCTGGAAAAAAGAAAAGATCACCTAAATCTGTGAGTTTACAGACTGATAAGAGTAACAGCTCTACCTGCCAGTGGAACATTGCCTGTGGGGTTTTGTTCTGTGAAGCACTAAAGGTGAGGACACTTGTAGGAATGTGCCCCCCGTTGAAGGAGTGACTAAATTATTCTTTGTCTGTTTAAAAAGGGAAAATGCCCAGAAGTTTCTCTCCCAATTTGGTACAAAAGATACCTCACAGGACCTTTGGGACTTCACCTCAGACCTGGGGCTGTCCAACTGGACAGAGGCCAAGAGGTCCAGCCTAGGTAATTCACTAGAAAAGGAAGAGAACAGAGGCAATAATTGCCTTTGTGGGATGTTTGAGCAGGAGCAAGAACCTCTTCCCCTTAACTCATTTTTTCTCTGTAAGAGCTTTGTTATTTGCCTTTTATTAAACCTTTTTCTATTTCCAACACTACCTCAAAAGCCATCCTACTAATTTTATACCATTCAAAGTAGCTAAACTATCTCAAGTGTAATCAGTTTCTCTAAGAGCTCATAAAACCTAACTCAAAAAACAACACACCACACACTCACCAGTGCCAGCACACAGCTCTGACAGAAACCCACATGCTTTGTCCTAAAAGACAGAGGTGTCCCCTCCCAGTGCAGCCCCAGCTGCTGTGCTGGAACCACCACAGATAAACCACCTTGGCACTGTGTTTTGCTGTGCTGGAACAGATAAACCACCTTGGCACTGTGTTCCCGTGCAACGCCTTCAGCAGTGACTGTACCTGCTCCCAGTGCCCAGGGCTCAGGATGAACACCCCTGTACTGATGACTCCAACAGCCAGGAGCATGAAATCTTCCTTCACTGTTAAAAACTTGGCTCTGCAGGAGGAAAATTGTGTTCAGGTGTAAAAGTTGCTTCACAGTTCAAAAGCACCTGCCAGTGCCCAGGACATGTTGGTTTATTTAGGCCAGCCTGAATAAACCACTGGAACTGACAGTGCAAAGCTGGATTTTAACCAAATGAAACACTTTCCTTGCCCTTGAAGCAGGTGTGGAAAAGCATGTTGTTTGAACTGGTGTATTTAGAAACAATGATGAATGTCCCCTCAAATTATTTTTTAAAATGGCATAATGAGAAATAGCCCAAAATGGCATAAATAGCTGCATATGCTATGCCCCAAAATGGCATAAATAGCAGAATATGGTACTATTTATTACTTTGAATTTCAAAGAGTTATTTTTATTATTTTAAGTCATTTTCAGGCCTTACATCTGCAGTTTGCTGGGTGTGGAGTTCTCAATGGCAATCTTCAGCAGGGTGTCATAGATGGTCTCTCTGGTCAGGTAGCAGAGGTCCAGCAGCTGCACACACAGCTGGTGTAAAGGCTTGGCAGGAAGCAAGCAGCCATTGTATCCTGGCAGAGATCACACCATCAGTGCCACGTTTTGGGTCACTACATTGAGTCTGAGGTACCAGAAGGGAGAGGGAATTGTGAGGACAACTGCCCTGACTCTGAGTGCCACAGGATCCCTCAGCCTCAGTGTAATTTCACTCTGAAATTCAAGCTGTCAGAACTGGGCGGTGCTGGTACCAGTTCTGGGTGTCTCTGGGTCTGCATTGAAGGCACTTGAGACAGTAGTTCATGTTTGGACTCGGGTGTTTATTATTTCTTGTCAGTAAAACAGTCTCACTACTGTTGTGCCACTGAGTTGGGCAGCTTTTCATTAGAAGGCACAAAATGGCCAACAATCTCTTGGTACAAGGGCTTTTAAGACTGAACTATCCAATTAAGAACTGACACCTGGATTATTTTCCCTTTTAACCCAATAACTGATCCCAATGTGGACTTTTCTGCCCAGTTACAAAATGCCACCCAAACCCATGAAGAAGAAACCCAGGACAACACCCTGTGCCCTCCATCTTGCTTCCATCACAACACAATAAAAACCCCAAAACCTCAATTTCTCACTAAGTGACACACCTACACAACTCTCTATAATCTATTTCACACTTTTGTGGGTTCCAGTCTATGTTGAAGTCTGGGAAACTTTCTCCATGAATGAGGGTCAAAGTCAGTGCTGCCCTGGGGGTCAGGGCACCCCAGAGCAGACACAGAAATATTCCCTGAGTGCCCTGGGTTTCCACACTGGGCCAAGAAAATGGTGAGTGATTGTAGAAAATGTGGCCTGGCATCATATTTGGGGGCTTTAAACTTTTAATATTTTACTGAATGACTCATGGCTGGCTGTCCAACAACATTCTATAAAGGACAAAGTTCTCATCTAAAAAGCTCTGGAAAATCTGAACTGTTCCACATGCAAAAATCTGTAATGTGAGACATTTCAGAGCAACAACAGCTCTGTGGCCCTACTAAAAAACTTCCTTCCCCTTCTCCCTGCCTGATACTCTCACCTAAAACCTCCAGGAGCAATTCCACATAGGCCAAGGGGGTTGACACGTTGATGTGGAACTGCAGAGTGTTCAAAACAGCAAGCTCTGACTCCAGCAATTCCTGTTTAGTGTAGGAGTATTTTATGGATTGCAGAAATGTTAAAGCTGTGTCACTGGTCACTCTCTGAAGAGGAAAAAGAGACAAAATGTCTTCCAGGAGTAAGGCAGGAACAAAGTGGTGTCACCTCTGCTCCTGCTGAGCACCAGTCCTTTGAGCTGGCATGGGAAATCCAGCTCTGGCCTTCCCCACAGGTTTCAGCTCAACAAACCATCCCCAGCCAGGTGTGGACACAATTTTTGACAACCACAGGGCTGAGATTTTCCTGCATTTTTTTTCCCCCCTCAGAACTGGGAACACTTCCCAGCAAATTGTTACTGGGTGAGCAGCAATTCACCTACCCTAAAGGGAATGTGGTGTCCTTGGCATCTCATTATCACTACTGGCTTCCAAAAAGGAAATCTATTTTTAAGAGAGATTAATACACTGCAGATTTAACCATGGTGCTAGAGCAAGGACAGGCTGAGCTGGCTTACACTGTAGTGCAGAGAGAGTTTGCTGGCAAGCTGAACACAGGACACGAGTCTCAGGACAAAGGTGTTGGTGATCTGATCCCTGACAGAGCTCCAGCTGCTCCTCTGGCCTTGTGTGCTCCCTCTGTCACCACACATCTGCTCTACCTGCTTGAGCATGAACCTACAAAAGCCACAATTGCTCAGAGAATGGTTCTGGCTGCTGAGGAAAGGTACAAAGGAATTCGACATATATGTATATATAATATATACATATATATAATATACACATACATGTAATATATGTAATATATACATATATATAATACACACATATATATAATATATACATATAGTTGTGTAAATAGATATATATTATATATATAATATACACACTGATGTATATATTATATAATATATAAAATACAATATATTATATATTATATATAATATATTATATATTATATATTATATATTATATATTATATATTATATATACAAAAGCCACAATTGCTCAGAGAATGGTTCTGGCTGCTGAGGAAAGGGACAAAGGCAATTCCACATACGTGTATATATAATATATACATATATATAATATACACATACATTTAATATGTATAATATATACATATATATAATACACACACATATATATATTATATACGCATATATTTGTGTAAATAGATATATTATATATATATATATAATATACGTGTATGCATATATTATATATTATATATTATATATTATATATTATATATTATATATACAAAAGCCACAGTTGCTCACAGAATGGTTCTGGCTGCTGAGGAAAAGAGACAAAGGCAATTCCACATACATGTATATATAATATATACATATATATAATATACACATACATATATGTAATATATACATATATATAATACATATATATAATATTTAAATATATTTGTGTAAATAGCTATATATTATATATAATATACACATGTATGTATATATTATATATTATATATTATATATTATATATTATATATTATATATACAAAAGCCACAGTTGCTGAGAGAATGGTTCTGGTTGCTCAGAAAAAGGAACAAAGGCAATTCCATATACATGTATATATAATATATACATATATGCATATAAAATATACATGTATGTACATATTTTATATATTATATTATTATGTGTATATTATATATTATATATAGAAAAGCCATAATTGCTCAGAGAATGGTTCTGGTTGCTCAGAAAAAGAAACAAAGGCAATTCCACATACATGTATATATAATATATACATATATATAATATACACATACATTTAATATATATAATATATACATATATATCATACACTCATACATATATATAATACATACATATATTTGTGTATATAGATATATATTATATATATGATATACACACATATGTATATATTATATTATATACAAGAGCCACAATTGGTCAGAGAATGGTTCTGGCTGCTGAGAAAAAGGGACAAAGGCAATTCCACATACATGTATATATAATATATACATATATTATATACATATATTATATACATATATTATATATACATATATATGTGTGTTGTGTAAATAGATATATATATTATCTATACATGTATGTATATATAAATATTAATATATGAATGTATATATAATGTATCATGTATCATGTATCATGTATAAGTATAGATATTACATATACAATACATAATATATATTATATAGTATACATTGTATTACATATAATAATATATGTAATATAAATATATATTATATACAATATACATTATATTGTATATAATATATATAATATATATTGTGTATATATATACACATAATATAATACATATTATATATTATTATGTATATATTTTATATATATAGATATATACATCTATATATTATGTATGTGTATATATATGTATTATGTGTGTATGTATGTATTATGTATGTACTATGTATGTATGTATGTATGTATTATGTATGTATATATAGGAGTATATGTAGAAGTAATAATTCAGATCAAATGAAAGAGGAGACAAAGCTCATGAATCTTGTGTGGTTTTGGGGTAGAGTGGGACGGGGCTGGGCAGTAAAACCCCACCAGGGGATGGGAAATGTGCTGTGTTTAGGACTCTCGTTACCGTTCAAGTAACTCCACTGCCTGGTACCGTGTGGGCAGGTCCAAGTGCCATTTTTCAGCCAAAAGGAATATAAATTCTGCAAAAAGCACAGCAGGCACTCGCTGCAGCTCCCGAGGCTCGGTGTACGGCTGCCCCGGGAGCTGCTGTGCCGAGCCTCACCCACGATCCGCGTCTCTTTGAAGCACCCGGCCTGCTCGGGCAGCTCGCTCAGGTACTGCTCGTTCTCCGTGGCCAAGTGGATCAGGGTGTCCTCGATAATCTCAGGAGCTACCCCACAGAACACGGGCCCTGAGTCACGGCCCCGGCCTCCCAGGGGCACCTCAGTCCCCATGGAGCGGGGCAGAGCCGAGGCCGTAACGGCAGCGATTGCAGCGGGCCTGCGGGGAGAGACCGGCACGGCGCTCCGCCGCCTCCTCCCGGCGCTCGGGGGCGGCAGCAGGCCGGGTCTGGCCGGGTTTTGGGCAGGCCCCGGCCCCGTTCAGGCCCCGGCTGAGGCGCTTCCAATCACGTGACCCCACCCCGCCAATCAGCACCCGCCGATGCCGCGATGGGCACCTCCCACTCGGCGCCGCGCGCTGCCCGGGCCTTCCGATTGGCCAGCGAGCCCCGCCGGATGTGACGTCACATCTCCGCGCGGAGCCGGAGGGGCAAGATGGCGGCGCCGGGGGAGCCGGGTGAGGCGGCGTTCGCGCGGCGCATTGACCCGGCCCGGGAGCCGGGGCTCAGCCCCGAGCAGCGCCGCGTCATGGCGCAGGTGGAGCACGTCCAGCGCCAGCGCGCCCTGCAGCGCCGGCTCCGCAGCCGCAACGTGCTGCTGGCCCTCGGCATCGGCGCGGTGACGCTTGGCATCTGTATCCTCCGGGGCCGCGGAACGGTGGGGCCGGGGGGCTCCGGGGCCGCGCACGCTGCTTTTCCTTAACTCCCCCCGCAGACGGTTACACCTTCTACTCGGTGTCGCAGGAGCGGTTCCTGGATGAGCTGGAGCAGGAGGCGGAGGCGGCGCGGGCGCGGGGCCGGGCGCGGGCGGAGGGCACCGCGAGCTGAGCGGGGATCGCCCGGCCCGGCCCGGCCCGTGACTGAGCTGCCGCCCGCGCCAGGCAGGACGGGCCTTGAGGCAGAGGCCCTGAGGGGTTCGGGCCTGCCCCGTGCTCTGCGTTGGCCCGGAGAAAGCCCCGGGGGCTCCCCGCAGGCAGGGCAGAGCCCGCCCCGGGGCCGTGCCCGCGGGAGGGACGGAGCGCCCGGGTGCTGCCACTCCCCACAATAAATCCTCTCACTGACACTCCGTTGTCACGGATCTCTTGGGCTGAGCCCGCCTCAGGGGGGATTTCCTGCTTTTTGCTGTTTATCCTCACACAGTGAGGCAAGCAGCCACGCGTCCTGCCCGACAGACACACGCAGAGCCAGTTTGTATTCAATCCACGTTTATGAAAACGCTTTTCCAACGCCACATTTTCATAACAAAGTGCTCCCAGATCCGGGAGGGCCGCCAGGAGCTGAAGGCGGGGTCGGTGCGGGGCTGGGGGTCCTCAGTGGGGGCTCAGCTCCTTCCAGCCACCAAGCACGGACACACCTCGCCCGTGTCCTCCCGCAGAGGGGCCGGGGACAGCGGGCACAGCCCTGGGGACAGGCCAGCCCCACAGCCAAGGGCAGCGCGGGCTCTGCAGGGCTGGCTCTGCCCGCCGAGGGCAGCAGGCACTTGGATGAGGTAGTTCATGGAGTCATTCCTGGCCAGCCGGCTACTGGGGAGAGAAGCAGCCGTGAGCCGAGAGGCACGGGAACGCCACGGGATCCCCGCGGGCCCCGCCCGTGTCCCTTACCATGCGCCCGAGGTCGTCGGCGAAGGTCACGCCCTTGTTGAGGCGCTGCTCCTGCGAGCCCGTGCTGCTGCCGCTCAGCGAGTTGCGGCGCATGATGCCTGCGGGGATGGCACGGTGAGGGCACCGGGCTGGGCAGCTCAACCGGGGCCGTGCTCGGTGGGGAACGGGACTGTGCCCTGCTCAGCCCGGTGTGGAACGGGGCTGTGCCACTGACCCGGGACTCTGCCCTGCCCGGTGGGGAACGGGGCTGTGCCGCTCACCCGGGACCCTGCCCTACAGCCCCGCTCAGCCCGGTGGAGAACGGGGCTGTGCCTCTCACCCGGGGCTCTGCCCGGTGGTGAACGGGGCTGTGCTGCTCTGCCCGGTGGGGAACGCGGCTGTGCCGCTCAGCCCGGGGCTCTGCCCTGCAGCCGCACTCAGCCCGGTGGAGAACGGGGCTGTGCCACTGACCCGGGGCCCTGCCCGGTGGTGAACGGGGCTGTGCCACTCACCCCGGGCTCTGCCCGGTGTGGAACGGGGCCGTGCCGCTCACCCGGGGCCCTGCCCTGCAGCCCCGCTCAGCCCGGCGGTGAACGGGGAACGGGGAACGGGAGCGGTGCCGGTACCTGCGGGCGGTGCCAGCTCCAGGCGCTGCAGGCTGTTGCGGCGGGAGGGGTTGAAGCTGCCCTTGGAGAGGCGGCGCTGGCGGCCGGACAGCATGGCAGCGGGGGACACGATGCCCAGCGGCGGCTGCTTCCCCATGCGCAGGTACAGCTCCTCGATCTCCTTCTTCTGAGCGCTCTGCAGCAGCTGCACCTCCGCCAGGTGCCTGCGGAGAGGAGAGGAGGTGGCAGCGGGGCTGGGGAAGGGACAGCGAGGTCCCCCCGGGCTGGCTGGGAACACGCGTGGGCCCCCAGGTGCGGCCACCCCCGGCTCACTTCTGGCGCAGGTTCTGCAGCTCCTCCCAGATCTCCTCGTCCTCGCTCTCGGTGTCGTCGCTGCTCACGTAGGACAGGCTGCGGGAGTAGCTCAGCCACACCTGGCTCAGCATGGCCTGCGGCACGTTCTCCGTGCTCTCTTCCCCAGGGCCCTCCCCGGGGTCGCTCCCCGCGGGCGCAGCGGGCGCGGAGCCGCCCTCGGCCGGCACCTCCTCGGCCTTGGGTGCCTCCGGTGCCGCGTCCGAGTCGCTGCTGGAGCTGCGGCCCGTGTCGGGCACGGCGGGAGGCGGGGAGGCGCTCGCTGCCGGCTCCGGGCCGGGCTGCTCCCCTTCACTGCTGCCCGGCCCCAGGTCTTTGGCTGGCACCACCTGGAACCGGCCCAGCACCTGCGGCTTGGCTTCTGCTGGGGACAGGGGCAGCGGTGGGCACAGGGGCATTGTGGTGCCCTGGTACAGCCTCTGCCCTGCCCCTCCTTACCTTCATTGATGGGCGAGAGCTGCGCCTTGGGCACGCTGGGGGCCGGAGCCTCCGAGATGATGAGAGAGTGGCTGGGCTTGGGGGCACCGGGCAGCACCTGTGGGCACCTGAGTACATCAGCAGCTCCACCCCAGGTCCTGCCACATCTCCTGTGCTCCCCTGTGGGCACTGAGCACCGTCAGCAGCCCCATCCCAGGTCCCACCACATCTCCTGTGCTCCCCTGTGGGCACTGAGCACCGTCAGCAGCCCCATCCCAGGTCCCACCACATCTCCTGTGCTCCCCTGTGGGCACCTGAGCACATCAGCGGCTCCACCCCAGGTCCTGCCACATCTCCTGTCCTCCCCTGTGGGCCCTGGGATCTGCCACCCTCTCAGCCCTCCCTGCATCCCAGTGGCTCCACAAGCCACGAGGCTCCATCTCACCCCAGTGCAGCATCTGCAGCGAGCACCCAGCCCTGCTGGACAGCCCCTGTGCACCCACACTCACCGTGCTGCCCTCTGCACTCCCAGCTGTGGATGTGCTCAGCAGCTGCACAGGGCTCCCCACGGCCTCGCTGCCCAGGGGGCACCCTGGGGCTGGTGCCACGGGAAGGGGGGATATGGGCACCCCAGCAGTGGGGACAGCAGCTGCCACTGACTCTGGGGTCCCACTGCCAGGTGGGACTGGCTTGTCTGTGCTGGTGGGGTCAGGGTACACAAAGCGTGGGGCACCCAGGGCAAGACTCTGTGGCCGTGGCAGCAGGGGTGGGTACAGGTGCCCACCTGAGCTGGCAATGGAGGAGACAGTGTGGGCCACGGTCATCACTGCCAGGGAGAAGACATTGGCCAGGGACAGGAGGGGAGCAGTGGGGGACAAGGGTGTGCTGGTCACTGCGGGGCTCAGGGGACTGCTGGGCTCACAGGGAACAGGGGGTGTGGGCACAGGCTGAGGGGACAGGAGGGCTTGGGGCAGGGCTGGGGGGACAGGTCCCCCTGGGGTCCCCTGGGGGGTCAGCGTTGGTGTCACTGCTGGTGATGATGTGAGCCAGGAGGGAGCCATGGAGACGAGGGGCCAGGTCTGTGCTGGGCCTGCAGGGAGAGGAGCATCAGGAGCAGCCCCAGGGCCCCTCCTGGCCCTGCCCAGGGGAGCAGCTGGCACCCCCAGGGCAATGAACATGCCCACCCTGCCAGCACTGGTACCTGAGGGCGACCCCAGTGGCACCGGGGGCTCCACAGGACTGCCCAGGTTGGTCTCTGACGGGGAGCGGCTCAGCAGCGGCAGCACAGGGGGCTGCACAGACGGCCTGGGGCTGGTGCAGCTCAGGTCTGTGGCACAGGGTGACAGCCAGCCTCAGCCAGGGCAGGACGTGTCCTTTGAGACCCTCAGGGCTCGGCTGAGGCCATCATGGGGCTGGGGGAGACAGGAAGGGCCAGCACAGGGGCACAGACGTACCACTGAGTGAGGATGAGGAGGAGATGGAGCGCGAGAGGCCCTGCAGCTGCAGGTCCACCTGTGAGAAGGGTGAGCTGAGCCCAGCACTGGGGCAGAGGCCCCAGCCAGGCCGTGCCAAGCTCCCACTGGCCCCACCCTGGGGAAAGGAGCTGGAGTCTCCTCTGTGCTGGGGAACACCTTGACTTGTCACAGGAGCGGCCAAGTGACCACAGGAGGACCCTGCACCCCAACCCACCCCGCACTCCCTGGGGCCAGGCAGCACCCCAAGCCATGCCCAGCAGCAGCAGCAGCAGCTTCCCCAGGCTGGCACTCACAGGGCTGCCCAGAGCACTGTCAGCTTCGGGGCCCTTGGGCAGCTCGGTGCCACCGCGGTCCTTGCGCAGCAGGGTCTCCACGCGGTGGATGATGTCCCGGATGCGGCTGATGAAACTCTCCCTCTCTGACTTGAGGATGAACTCATTGTGCACCTGAGGGTGTGCAGGGGTCCGTCAGCACCCAGCCCAGCCAGGCACAGCCCACCTTCACCCTCCCCCTGCTCTCACCATGGCGGCTGCAATTTCCTCGGGGTTGTCCCCATCCAGGTCGAACTTGAAGGTTACCATCTTATTGTTGTAGGTCTGCAGCTGGCACTCCACCACTCGGTCGTTCTTGTCGGAGATCTGTGGGTGGCAGGGCTGGCTCAAGCCCAGGAAAACCCACC